CTTAGAGCAAAGTCAACCCAACTTGTAGCAACTAGACATATCAGCTGTTTTTGATCATTGATGTGACAAAATAGACAGTTTATTGATCAGTTTTACTATTTGATTGGTTGACATTTAATGTTGAATATAGGACAACAAAGCTCGTTATTATTTTGTATCTAATTATGGTAATTAATTAACAATGTTCATTAGTGAGATCAATAATGGCCTGGTAGGTCTGTGATATATTCAGGACTCTAGTGGATTGCATAATACAATACATTAGCATTTATGTGTTAACTAGTATATCATATATATTAATAGTAGTTTTACTTGCTATTTGTCTGCACCTTATTGTGTTTATGAAGACTAAAAATATTATTAATGTAAATACCTACTACCTACTTTGAATTGTCACTATACTATTGTCTGTTAATGGATTTTACTATTGTGATTGAATGTAGAATGTAAAAGATTTTTTAGTATTAGAATGAAAAGTTTGTTATTTTTAGTATTAGAATGAAAAGTTTGTTATTTTGAGTATTAGAATGAAAAGTTTGTTATTTTGAGTATTAGAATGAAAAGTTTGTTATTTTGAGTATTAGAATGAAAAGTTTGTTATTTTGAGTATTAGAATGAAAAGTTTGTTATTTTGAGTATTAGAATGAAAAGTTTGTTATTTTGAGTATTAGAATGAAAAGTTTGTTATTTTGAGTATTAGAATGAAAAGTTTGTTATTTTGAGTATTAGAATGAAAAGTTTGTTATTTTGAGTATTAGAATGAAAAGTTTGTTATTTTTAGTATTAGAATGAAAAGTTTGTTATTTTGAGTATTAGAATGAAAAGTTTGTTATTTTGAGTATTAGAATGAAAAGTTTGTTATTTTTAGTATTAGAATGAAAAGTTTGTTATTTTGAGTATTAGAATGAAAAGTTTGTTATTTTGAGTATTAGAATGAAAAGTTTGTTATTTTTAGTATTAGAATGAAAAGTTTATTATTGTCAGTAAATAAGAATGAAAAGTTATTGTCAATTATGTGCAGTATTACAGTATTTAGTTTGCAGTTTAGTCCGATTGTCTTAATGTTCTTTTTTTTTCATTTGTTCACCCTCTGACTTTGGGTTTTTCAGGAATCTTTCGACATAGTGCTGAACAAAAAGCAATATTAGTGCTTAAAAATTAGGAAAAAATAGTGTTAAAGATGTTATAGTAAAAAAAAACTTTGACTATTTGTTAAACATTTGCTGCAAGAGACTAAATATTACATATGATGCTGCTACAGTGATTTCAGTCTTAAGTGAATACTTATTTGAAACTAAGTAAAGTTAGTGATTCTTCAGTCTAGTGCTATCCTACTGACCCTTTTGTAATTATAGTGACTTAATTTACATCTAGTGCTGATCCAGTGACTCGTGTAAATGATATCTTAGTTTTTCTTGTAAATATAGTGATTCAATTTATATTTAGTGCTAATGTAGTGACTTGTGTAAATATTCTAAGTTAATAACTAATATATGAAAACCAACGACTCAGACTAATGTAAATAATATTCAGTCCAAGTGACCCTTTTGTAAAAATAGTGACTCGATTTATATCTAGTGCTTATCTAGTGACTCGTGTAGAAATAGTGATATTGGATTTAACAAGGATTTTACGACAAAAAAATAAAAATGTTTCGAAAAAAAAAAACCAATGTTAAGGATAAAAAGGTGAGAGGTTTTCTGATTTTTTTACGATATTCTGTCAAATTTGAAATTTTAGCATTTTTGATTTCAATTAGCTAATTCTCATTTGTAATCTCTGCATCCTTTTCAGAAAGGCCACTTGTTATATATAATGTCAAGGTCAAACACAGTTGCTATTTTGATTTGACCAATGAATTAAAAGATGACAGATTTGTCAAAATTAACATGAAATTCTCCTCACGTTGAATGACACCCGTCAAGCTTTCCTGAATATATAAAAAAAAAAGATTCTGATGAAAAGCCAAGGCATTTCTTTTATATTTTGGACTAGAATTTTTTCTGTAAAACGATGAAAAGCCATTTTAATATGAATAAATAATGAAATTTTGAAAATGCTAAATGTTCAAATTTGACAAAAGTCAAATGATAATCCATTTTTTTCAGCTTTTGTTAATTTTGAGTCGATTTTTGCAAAAATGACAATTACATTTCAGTATCCCCATGTTGGATTTATTGATTCAATTGGCTGTCAAAAATAAAGTGAACCCCTCGAATTACACGCTTGTAGCCATCTCTGAAGAAACAGGTCGACAGATTGATTATAAAGCTAATCAAACTATCGGTTCCCTAGAAACAAACAAGTTACGTCTCGTACCCAAAAAATCTGAGACAGGAAAGTCAACCAAAAGCAAGAACCAGCCGTTTGAGGTAATGTATCAATTTAGTAATGTCAAAATTGTTTACCACTACCAGAGCTTGTATGCTGTCTGTCTTTCAGAAGAAATGGCAATTTTACGTCAGTCGGGGGCGAAGATCGAATGATAAAATTCCTACAAACAAAGATATTGTGTCCAAATTGAATAATGACATAAAATGAGAAAATAGCGTGAAAGGTGTAGGACCCCATAATTTACACAATACCCTTTCATAAATATATTTAATTTAAAATGGAAACAAAATCATGTTTAAAACAACAACAAAAGTGAAAAGGCAACATAATTAAATAATGAAGCCATATAAAATGAAAACAAAAATGGCAAAAAAAGAAACAATTAAAATTTCAAAAACAAAAGGTAAAGGCATGACTTGTATAAATTGTATAAAGTAATAAAATCTAGTCTCAATGCATCTTCACAATGTCAAAGAATAACTCAGTCTAATACCTTGACATCATTTGGTAGTTTTCTTGTATGTTTTTATAACAAAATATATATAGTTCATTCTCATCTGTTAATCAAAACATAAGTTCATAATGCAGAAAAAGTCTTTCTCTCGAGGGCTTTGATTGGTGTCTCGCTAGCAAACAATTAAATCATTGAATTTACAAACTACCGTGATGCAAGAAAAATGGCAAATGATGCCAAGGTATTAGACTGAGTATGTAATACCTTGATATTGTGAAGATGTTCTTGTATTTAAATTGAATGAAGTAATAAAATCTAGCCTGAGGGATTATGTCTGTTTTGTTAGTTGTTCGTGTGTTTGTCATGTTTCAACTACCAAATAACAATATAAGCCACCTTCTGATTATTATTATTATTAAAATTACAATGAATAGGATACATTCTTGTTTTGTTTTTTCATCCCCTTATTATAATACAGTCAACTATGAAAGGGGTCAAAACTACACTATTTCAAACATGTTCCTTCCCTGAAACCTTAAGAATGAGTTTTGTAACAATATTTTGACCTCAGTGTATTTTCGTGCAAAACACTCATATTTTCAGGTCCAATAAAATAAAAAGAAGAAAACAGTCTTTGCCCAATCTGGTGCAGATAAGTGAGATGTAAAACTCCATCATATTTCATAGATAAAATATAGGACATGGTGGTCTTTAATATTAAAATATTTAGACTAGAATAGAACAGGTTTATCATGGACCTTGGCAAGTTGCCATGATGTTCGTCATTAGTTTTACTTTAAAGAGACACTTGAAACTATACTATATACACCTACATTGTTACAGGTATACCTTGACATACTGGACAATAAAACCTTCATACAGTGGGCATCTTATGTCATTTAATATACTATATATATTATAAATATACACCTACATTGTTACAGGTATACCTTGACATACTGGACAATAAAAACCTTCATACAGTGGGCATCTTATGTCATTTAATATACTATATATATTATAAATATACACCAACATTGGTACAGGTATACCTTGACATACTGGACAATAAAAACCTTCATACAGTGGGCATCTTATGTCATTTAATATACTATATATATTATAAATATACACCTACATTGGTACAGGTATACCTTGACATACTGGACAATACAAACATCAACACATTGATTGATAAAATGTACAAATATTGTTACTAGAGCTGGTTATCACCAATGATGCCATGATATGATACATTTCAGTATATTGCTGGGATAAAAATTAACATTTTATCTTCAAAGTTTTTATATATATATTAATTTTATATCTTTATAACTGTGATATTTGGTAATGTAGTTGGTAAGAATGATGAACTGTCTTATAATTAGTTTCCAACAATTGAAAGTCTGTGAAAAAGAATTCATTACAATTACATTTACCAACTTTATAAAATCCACACTTTTTTATGGAAGGAGAAGTATCGTCAAGTATTGACACATGACCTTGAGATATTATAATTGTGGCAATTTCCTATCTCATTGTATCAATTATATATTAGTGCTGGCACTAGTTGTTACATACTGACTATAAATATAACCTGTATAAAATGGGCATCTGTATCTCTACAGTAAAATCTTTCGGTGTGTCACCATTCTTATAGCTCTGATAAAAACTAAGTCAAATTGACACAAAACCTTTTTGAATAAGAAGCTACAATAACTATACAGTTTTTAAATTCTCAATAACTTCAGGCCAAATTTGATACAAAATAGTGACGAACATGTGAATCTGGAAAAACTTGTTTCTTGTCAAATATTTTGGGTTGATGGTAAATTTTAATGAAATTAGTAATCAGAAAGGAAAACAGTGAAAACTTGGATGAAATTTCAAGATTTTCTGTTGTGATCTGTTGTTATTTTCCTAGAATTACAAGGAATGGAATGAAATAGAGTTTTACATCTTCTATTTCTACACCTAATTGGACTAATAGATGTCTTCTAAACAAGAATGGAATAAAAAGAGCTATATTTTTTGCAACATATGTGGAAATCTAACTTTTATGTTGAACATTTTGCTCTGGCTATTCAAGGATTGTGATTAAAATTATATCAAAAGATGAAAGTCACGACAATTTAACATAAAGAAATAAATTATAAATAAAAACAACCAACATTTATATGTAAAAGGAAATGATATAATATCAAAAGTCAAAATGGAAAAATCTGCCATTTCTGTGGTTCATATAGAAAATGTAGGTATTCGAAAAAACAAAAACTTCATTGATACCTTTTTGATCGCTAAACTTTTGGAAACTGTGGTTATCAATATTTTATTTTGAGTCTTGTTGGACGTCAAGATGTTTTTAAATTTATTGAATTTAATTGTGGGGTATTCAACTTTTCATTTTAAATTTTGAGCAAATTGAAGAATTTTAATTTTAACCAATCATCTTCCTGTATTTCAGATGACCCACCGTTTTACAGTTAATCTACCTCGTAACCAGAAAATGGTAAACAGAATCAGCCCAGCCATGCCGCTATCAGAATTATTCCATAAAGTGTGCCAAGAAAAGAATCTTAACCCAGCCAACTACCAATTTCAGCACACACAACAGCCTGGGATGCGTCTGGATCTGGGCAAAATGACAGTTGGAGATTTGAAATGTAATGAAGTTAATTTCGTTAATTGTGGTAAGATCCCTTTATTTTCTGATTAATCTATAAAAGCTTATGTTTGAGAGAAAGAAAATTTTCCAAAAAACAAACCTCTTATATCATCAATATTAGTATGGTATTGTAAATGATATTGTAATAACCTATCCCATGCCTGCGACTAAAAGGGATTGTTGAAAGGTTGTTAACTGTCTGTCCAATACACTCATAGGTTGCATTAGCACTAATCTTATGTCCTGTTAACTTCTGTGGTTTGGAAAATTCAATTCATGACTACATGTAGATTATGATGTCTCCAAAACAATTACCATTCATTGAGATTTATCATAGTGGTCAAGTTTTTCAAGAATTGCAGGACCCACTGTCATCAATGATAACTTGAGAATGGTGCAAAAAATTAAAGTATCCTACACTCATCCAAAGATGACAAAACCTTTTTACACTCCCCTTTCATTTTAAGTTTAGTCTAATTGGTATAATGCAGTATTATCTTTTGGTTTAGTTTTCAAGATATCTAGTTTATACTATTGATCTGGTACCTATAACAAAAGCAGAATTACTTTTAGAATGAATTGTATAGTCAAAATCAAAATTCTTAGATGCAGATTTTGTAGCTTAATAGTTTTCAAGAATTATCCATCTAAAACAGTTTTCACATTGACAAACTTGTCTTGTGAAGGGAGAGTTAAAATCTAAAAGAAGCTTATCTTTATTTTAGCAATGATGGATAGTGCTCAGTCCATGACTGATCTAAATCGTTCAGAATCAGCCAGACGTGAACAGCCCACGTCTTATATGCCTGGTGCAGCAGAACCCAAGAAAAAACGTGGCTTTCTGTCGTTTTTAAAGAAAGATAAAAAATTTAAATTAGTAAGTTACTTTTATTATTTATATGAAAGCAAGATGTAACGACATTGTGTGTGAAAGGGATAGTTTGACCATTTTTAGGGTTTGCTTCAGGTCTTGAATATATGTAAATAATCTTCAGAAGTACTAGAAAATCACATAATTCCTTCAAAAATACCTCAAATTAGGAATTTCACTTTCTATTTTTATATATGTATAGTCATTTAAACTTTAAAGTGCAGATAATTCTGGACACACATGGATTTAAAGGCTCAAATTTTTTTGTTAAGACTATTACTGATTAGTTTACCTCAAGAATAAGATACAATTGATCAAATGGATGGCCAACCTGTCCCTTTAAGCTGTACTTAGTGTATTGCTTCTTCTATTTTTTACTAGCTTCTATAATATCACTCTGTTACAGAGTACACAGTACTATAATACCTTGTCTATTTCCACCTTTAGGCTAAATTGGCATTGTTCTAGGACCACAGCCATTTCTGAATTGTATATCAACAGGGTTCAAAACAAAAGTTGGTTTTTAGAATATCTTTAGGTCCATAGAAATGCATGATTTGGTGATGAACTAAAAATGGACATACTTCCCTCCTATAAAATACACTAGATTCAATTTTGAATTTGATGTTTCACTTCGCATGAAATTAATTAACAAAACTTGAGATTTGAGATTTAAATTGTTTTCAATTTCAGAATGAAACTGAACAGAGACTAGAAGCTCAAATGCATGCAAATTCCCAACAGAGTTCATCAAAATCAGGTCCACGACCTTTAACCCCACCTGCAGAGCGTCGAAATGCAGGCAATATCGACGCTACACAAGGTGTGCGTCCTAAATCAATGTTTGTATCTTCCAAACCAAGTGAACTAGAAAATGGACATATTGGTGTTTCCAAGGAGACCACATTACCTAGAGTGCCACCTAGGACAGGAAAAAAACGACAGGCGCCATTACCACCTCAGCAAAATCCTACGCCAGCTCCACAGCCACAAACAGTGGAGGTTGTAATCAAAGATCAAAATCAGGAATCAAACAAAGGGGAACGAAGAGTTTCAAAAGCCACAGAGGGTAAAACTGGACAGGACACCATTACTCAGAGACTCCATTCACGAAATAGTTCAGATTCAAGTGGCTATCATGAACTAACATTAAGCGGTGCCGAATCACCTGAGGCAGGACGGGTCAAAAGTACATTTAAAACTAGTATTGATACTACTTCAATAGAAAGTGTGGACAATAATAACGACAGTGGCATCACAGACATTTCATCCCATAATACTAAATTATCAACTAATCAGATGTCTGCCGGTGATAGTCAGACATTACCAAGCAAAAGTGCGATTCCAAAACCACCTCGGCAACGTTCCCATTCACTAGAGCGTAACCAAGAACAACCGACACAGATTAAACCGTCGGCTAAAAAGAAACGAGCACCAGCACCACCTCAACCATCAGGTAAGTGTTGTTAATCTGTTTATGTGTTCAATGAGTTGGCTTACTTTACTCATACATCTAAGGTTCTGTATTAGTTAATCTCCTTTAACAGAATTACCTGTCTTGAGAAATATGTATCTAAAATAATTGTCATCATGAGATGAACTCATGTTCACGAACTAGCTGTCCTGATGAGAATTTTGTATCTGAAACATATATCAGCAGCTTGAGAGAGCTTTAGTCAATATACAAACCAGATGAAGAGTTTGTATCTTAAACTTGTCAGCAGCTTGAGATGAACTCTTGTCAATAAGTGATACGATATTTTTTCTTGTTTCTGTTTGATGAACTGTGTCCATGTGTGATAAACGCACAGGTTGGTAGGTGAATTACTGTCTGCACAGTTTTCATTAGCTCAATAAGTTAAGTATATGTAGAGTCAATTTAAAAACACCTATAAATGTCAAGCATTACTCGTGTATCTCATGGTTTTGTAGTTTCAGTTAAACCACTGCCTACACATGAAGAGGCGCCATCTATCATAGAAAATACTAGTCAAAATGATCAACCAATCAGAGAGCCAGAATCAGATATTACGCAATTACCAGAACAAGTTGAGATATCTACATCACAAAGTAAGTTGTCCTATTTCCCAAAAAGCATGTAACCGGAAGACTTAACCACTTGCTCTAGTTGTTTTGAGGAAACACCCATGTCCCATATTTTATTGATGGTAATATCATGGAAATAAAGTTTGAAATCTAATGAATCTAATTTTCTTATTAACATCCTGAGCTATTTTTGGTACAATATACATGCTATTATGAGATGTGAAATAGCGTGGGTAATCCTGGATAACTTAAGTTATTGGATGTTTGGTCAGGTTAGCTGGTAGATAGGATCCTTGACAACCTGACAAGTAAAATCGAGAGGTTTGGCCAAGGATCAGCTGGTAGAAATAAACTTTGGAAACCTCAGTATCTTTGTAAAATTGAAACTTTTAACAAAAGATTTGAAAAATATTGATGTTTTATTTTTCCTCAATATTACAGCAGACACAGTGGTAATTGTGTGTTACAAGGTTTCCATCTTTCATGTTTTATTTTTTAGATGATGTGGTAGATAATATTGATGGTGTAACATTGAACTATGATGAGGATCAAGATGATGCTTCACATGACGTTCTTGATGTTGATATGTCACATGATGATCGTGACTTGTCATATAATGGTCAGGACATGTCACATGACGAACACGACATTTCAAATGGTATGATGGCAGAAAGGGCCTCACTATGTAGTGAAGATATCGACAACATATTAGTAGCAGACCCAAAGCCAATGCGTCCTTGTTCATTCATAGCTCCACCCCCACCATTGGAACCACCCCCAGACTTAATTCAGGACAATGAGAAAAAATATGTGGATAAAGGTGTGGTTGTCAATGACGACAACGCCTCACTTCCATCAGCTAGTGTAAAAGGATCACCCTCAAGCAGTAAGTATTAACATTATTAGTTATCTCCCTTTCTAAGGTTTTTCTAATTTTTGGGGATTTCTTATAACAAGTTTCTCTGAGATTATTTGACAGTATTGGCTATTTGATAAAGCAATTCAAAGACATTTTATGCTCAAACAGCCATTTAAAGACCAACAATCCATTTTATTTTGAGATATTTCAAAAAGTTGGTCTAATGAACACAATGTCTGGCTTATATAGTTTTAATTCTGTTTTCTACCTTAGACTCAAAATAACTGAACATGTTAATGTTTTGAATCCTACCTAAAGAAAATTGACTTGAACAAAATTTGACTATAGTATGGCTGACACATGTTAAATGAGAAAACTCTATTTATGGAATGCTAACTATGTTTATTGGGTATTGGGAAGTGTATTTGCACAATGTGGTAAAGGATTTGTTTACAGCATGTTGTTGGGGAATGGAGCTATATCAATGTTTTATGTTGTGTTTGTTCAGAAGACTAGATCTAGATTCAATATCTCATCTTGGACATCAAAAATTGATCTTAAGCCATTACAATTTCTCATCTAAGAACTTTTCCTCAGCTTTTAAAAGTATGCAGCAGAAAGTCATGTGTTGGTAGTTAAAATACTAATGATTTGACTCTTAACTACCAAATATCTAACTGTCTCATACTGTGAAAGCTGTGACTATTGTGATAATTGTTTTGATTATTTAGGCTAGGACTCAAATTTGTAAATATGTCTGTAGAAAAAAAGTGCTCTTTTGCATGTTTGAAAAAAGGTCGTCCCTCAAAATTAGGATCTAGATCAAGTCTGAAGAAATCCTGACTTAACCTACAAATATCCCTCTCTTTCCCCATATAGCTCACAGCAGACTTAGTAGTCGCTCCAGTATGGAGTCAACCACTATTGAAGATCTGGGCCTCGATTTTGAGCAAACCATAGCATTAGGAGAGGAATATGCGAACTCCAATGAAAAAGGTATAACCGAATCATGTGACCTCCATTTGGGACCATTCATGTAAAATCAACAATATTTCAAAAAAGAAGTTTGCTTTATGACAGAAAATTTGTCTTATTTTGGCTGTTTTGACAAATTCTTTTTTATATTTTCATGTTTACCTGAATTGTCTCAATATTTTCCTAGACAGTGATTTCTAATTTGTTTTCTTAATTAACTTTTATCTATAATTTTATATTTAACATCTAAATTAACACCCTTAATATTTGAGTATTTTTTATAACTTAATTAAACTCTCGTAATTTTGTTTTATCGTTATCATCTTTCCTGCATCCACTTAACTTTGCATATAACATTGGATCGTAACATTACAAATCCTGATGTGTCTATACTTTCCTGGTAACCTAACATCCTATCCCATCCATTTTCTCTTTTTGTGTAAAGTGTGCTCAGCTTTAAATGTGCTTGGCCTTGCAAAAGTTTATCAAAACACGTTAGCAGTTTTTTACCACACTGCTGGATGAAATTTTTCTTGGGTGTTTTTAGCTATGGACTATGTCTCAGACACCAAAATTTTGTTCCTGAATGAAAACTTCATCACCCCTGAAATAAAAGGTTGTATTTCTCCCTATGTATACTGAATGTTAAACAGGATAAATTGTTGTCTACAATGTAGTTACATAAAAACTGTAGTTTGAATATTTAATGTATATATGCTTGTACTGTGCGCAGTTTTTTCCCCTTAAAGGGTCTACCAAACTGAAGGTGTTCATTTTAGACAGTACAGCATTATACAAGCTTGTGCAATATATTCACTATTATATGTTTTTTATTTAATGTATTTGAACACAAGTATTGCTGCACTAATAAGACCTTTGTGATTAATAAATAGGTTAAATAGAAATAAAATAATTGGTTAATTTTTATAATTTTAGATCCAGGTTATAAAAATGAAATGGCCATGTTTGTAGAAAATATGTCCAATTTGACAGTTGGTTCTGATAATGGTAGCACCAACCAATCAGGAAGTGTTACTCCAACGATGCAGGATACAGAGGAATCGGAGACCGGTTCAGTAATTAATCACCAAGCATCAGCTAGCGACCCAGATACAGAGTCCTACACTGAATCAGAAGTGAGCACTCAAAGTGACCTCGATAGACGTGAACAGGAGAGACAAGCTCGTCTTAGTTCTATATTTAGTAACAATACTGATCAATGGGAAGATACTCCATCCCCACCAAGATTAACAGAAGAACCTAAGAAAATAGGACATGCTATCAATCAGAAATTACTTAGTCCTGACGCAGACAATCCCATTAATTTCGACTTCACACCTCCAACTGAGTTTCAAAACGACTCTGTTGTCACAGAATTACGGTATGATGAACCCCAGATGTCAACTGCTCAAAACAAGAACAATAACTCCAAAAATTACGCATCGGATGAAGAAGAATGGACAGAAACTGTGGAAGAGGTTGTCTACCATCTTGGACCAAAATCTTCCTACACATTTGGCGGAGCATTGAAAAATATTCCAGACACAGAAACCAAAAGAGAACTAGATTCATCTAGATCTACGTCTACCGTCTCTGCCTTCACCTTGTACCAAGAACCGAAATCAAAAATCTCCCAAAGGACAACACCAGTTGTGAAAGAAGAATTTGTTTTGACAACAAATGATTTAGCAAAAGTAAACTTCGTAGCTTCACCACCTATGTCGAATAAAACTTCAAAATCAAGTTATCTGAATGGACGGCCAACAGGGTACTCATCAAACACTCATAATCTGGATAAGGGTAATAACTCTTATCAAGCTAATATACGTTCAGAACGAAGTTACTCACCTGATGTAGTGAGGGACAATTCTGACAGACACTCTGGTAGTTTTAGCTTACCAGTCATGAGAGAAACACAACATTCTCCAAGCCCTGTAAACGTCTTTACTTCATCTTCTAGTTTAAACATGGCTGCCCCAAGGGAACTAACTCCATCTGGATGGGTCGTCAAATCAGAACCGAAAGAAATATCGTCTTCCTATCAGTATACTGAAAAATCTTCCGACAATTTGTCACCAAAGCATCAAGTTGCCACTTCCACATATTCCCGCCTTCTGACTCCTTCTGGTTGGCAAGCAGCACCCTCCAGTGATGAAAATTCTCCATCAAACAGTCCATCTGTGAGTCCATCTATTAGTGATTCAATAGAAGAGTCAAAAGTAGCTCAGTATGAGCAATTAGAGGAACAGCTGAAGCAATGGCAAGAGCAATTGAAAGTGAATGAAAACATTCTGGCGAGTCAGCAGTTTTCAGCAGAAAATCAATCACTACAAGCTCAGATGCAGTCCCAGATCGAGATGCAGAAACAAATGATGGAACAGCTACAAAAAAGTATGTCGGCATTAACTAAAGACATTCCAGCTAATAAACATGCTCCTACCCCACCACCAGCACCTACACCTATACCCCCTCCTGCACCCCAACCAGCATTCCAGTTGAAGAAAGTCTCAGCAACCAATCGCCCTCCACCAAAAAGATTTGAGCCTCAGCTCGATCCCCGTGAAGAACTGATGATAGCCATTAGAAGTTTTGGTGGAAGAAATAGTTTAGAAAAGGTAAAGATTCAATTTAATATTTTTGTATTTCAATTGGGTTGAAGTGGACAATGAGTAAACGCTGGAAGGATTTAAGTCTTCTCAATATTTTCTTTCCAGTCAATTTCATTTTTCAGAATGAAAATACAAGTGTGAAAGTTTCTGACATCCAGGAATGTTGTCACTTTCTCCTAAAATTTCTTTTGATTGCATATGAACCAAGCTCCTGATTTTTATTTGTGAAAAGCGATACAGATAATACATTTCATATCAATTTTAACTATTTATTTTGCTTTTTCAGGTAGCAGTTCAGAACACTAACTGGAAATGAAGTTGGAGTAAAAAGTGTACTTTGTTAAAATCTTCAAAATTGGAGATATTAATGGAATTTTTCAAACATGTATGGTGCAGATTTCAGTGGTGCTGATGTTATTTTATAATTTTATTGTGAATTTATTAGAATTATGAAATATGGATATAATTTTGTGATGCAAAAAGTTTAAAAAGCGTTGTGTAGAATTGTTTCTTAATGGACATAAAAATTGTGATCTTCTGAAAGATTTAGAGTTTTGTAAATGCTGGTTTACATATCAGTGATATTGAATGTGAACATATATTGATCTACACAACATTATGGATCCTGAAAATTGGAGTAAGTTGGAAGAAAAGTATGGTAAACTGAGGAGAATGCGTGCTTTTAAAAGTGGGAGACCTGATGCCCTTGTACGATTGGGTGTTCAATTTGGTAAACCTTTCAGGAAGTTCTCATTAACAATAATGTGGTATGTTGAAGAAGTATCATTACGTTTTGATATTCTTCTTCTTGTTAAAATATGAAGAGTGTGATTTGGATAAACATCAGAATTTGAACTTGACCCTTTGATATTCAAAAGGTTTTAAGACGTAAGGGAAAGTGGATGATTTAGTGCAATGATGTGCAGATATTAGAATATTACTTGAGTATTAATTTGTGGAATTCAGAATGTAGGTAAACAAATTAAGTTGAAATGATATGTCATTTTAGTTCTGTTAATTACAGCAGTAAGTTTGTATTTAATCGTAGATTTCTTTATTCTGAAAAGTGATACAGGAAGATTTAATTCTATCAGCTTATATATAATTAGACCCCAATATCTACTTACAATTGTTTATGTACAAATATTTTATGATATTATATATCAAGTCTTTCAAGTTTAGAATTTATTTTATGGTAAGTTTATGTATTTGATACATTATCCTCATCAGGACAGCTATATTTGATAATAGAGGTTTACTTTTCAAAATTGGACTAAACACATATGAACAAAGGATTGTAATAGAGTAGAGCTCACCTCTTGCTGGGAAACATGTTTAGGGCATACAATCCTCATCAAAACAACTGGTTTGGGAATAAGGGTTTGAAATATACAAATATATATAAGGGTACTTATAATCCTATATTTGAAGTATTTAACCAAAGCCATTTTATATAAGTAATTTTTGAATATTACAATGGTCATGTATTAAGATATATATATTAATTATATTAACATATTTTGTATTTTACCACATACATATAATAAAATTTGTAAATAAATATCATTACATGTATTTGTATTAACATGATTAATTAAAAAGCAAAAAGGTTACCAAGATTTTTTATTAAAAAAAACAGTGAATTTGTATTTAAGGTATTTATAACTTTGTATTGTACCTAAATATTTTTATGACAGTATTTGTAATTTGTAAATTATGAAATAAATTTATTTGTTATAGAGGTAAATTTTAGTACCCGTAACATTTTTGAATTTGAAATGATGAAATGTCATTTTGAAAATAAAGTATTTTGTATTTTATTTACCACATTACATGTTTACCATTTAGAAGTACAAATTTAAGTTACAAATGTCATATATTTAATAATACGATAAAACCAGTTATAAAAAAGTATAGTTTGTATTTAGCAACAATCGTAGAGAAACATAAAGGTTTCTATGATAAAATGTAATGAATTTGTAAATACATTTGATGAATTTGTAAATAAGAAGTATATAATTGTAATTTGGAAGTGAGGTTCAAAGGATATTATTTTGTTTTTAACCATAGAAACTGAGAAATAAAAAGGTCACTAAGATGAATTTTTGGTTACATTGAAATAAATTTGTAAAAAAATTCATTCATGTTATTTTGTATTTTATGAGAAAAAATATTTTGTATTTCATGATAGTAAAATGAAGTACAGTTGAACTAAGATATTTGTGAACATCCATGTAAAACTCAAAACATAAAGTAGAATGTTTATATATGTTTTGAATATTACATGAAAATGCTCAAATAGCTTTGCTTGGCTATAACAAATGTGTATATACATGTATGTAATGAAAATTTTATATTTTACTAGAGCAATTTTGAAGCAACAAACAAATTTGTAAATACTAGAAATTTATTTTGTATATTTAGAGCTATATATATCTATATTACTGATTTTAATCAACGACAAACGAAATAAACCATTATGTTACCATGTCTTTTATTTCAACTCCAAGTGTAATCTGAAAGTATAACACATACAACCATGTATGTCATGTGTAATGCAAAACTATGCTTTATTTCATATATATTTCATCATCTTTTAATATTCATCAATTGTTTTCAAATCTTTTTTTTTTTTCAAGTCTTGCTCTTCATTTTTTCAATTTGCATTTGCAAAACTTCATTTTCATATCCATTTTGGACTGAAACCCCAACCATTTCAGGTTACTCTTTGGAGAAACGAGTGCTTTGCCCATCAATTGATGAATTGAGTGTGCCCTCGTCACCATAATGCATCACAAGTTGGCATCACATTCATTTGTTATATGGAGTAACAAGTTTCACGTTGATTGTCTTTGGCTTCACATTGGAATGCAATTTTCACTGAAGTGCATGGGGGGTTTATATTACATGTCTAGGTAAGAAGGATCACCCCGAGACATGTTTAGGGAAGGGAGATCATGATACATCTCTATTGAAGGGTGTTCACCCTAAGGGGAAGGGGGATCATGATGCATATCTAGGAAGGGGGATCACTCTGATACATGTTTAGGGAAGGGGGATCACTCTAATACATGTTTAGGGAAGGGCGATCACTCTGATACATGTTTAGGGACGATGGATCACTCTGATACATGTTTAGTGAAGGGGATCACTCTGATACATGTTTAGGGAAGGGGGATCACTCTGATACATATCTAGGGAAGGAGGATCACTCTGATACATGTTTAGGGAAGGGGGATCACTGATACATATCTAGGGAAGGGGGTCAAGATACATATCTAAGGAATGGGGATCACTCAATGGGGAAGGGGGATCATATTAGATATTAATGGGGAGTCATGATACATAACTAGGGAAGGGGATCACTCTGATACATGTTTAGAGAAGGGAAGGGGAATCTCTCTGATACATCTCTAGGGAAGGGGGATCACTCTGATACATATCTAGGCAAGGGGGATCACCCTAAGGGAAAGGGTATGATACATGTTTAGGGAAGGGGGATCACCCTAAGGGAAAGGGGGAGTCATGATACATGTTTAGGGAAGGGGATCACTCTGATACATGTTTAGGGAAGGGGGATCACTCTGATACATGTCTAGGGAAGGGGGATCACTCTGATACATGTCTAGGGAAGGGGGATCACTCTGATACATGTCTAGGGAAGGGGAAAGGGGATCACTCTGAACATGTTAAGGGGAGGGGGATCACTCTGATACATGTCTAGGGAAGGGGGATCACTCTGATACATGTCTAGGGAAAGGAAGGGGAATCTCTCTGATACATGTCTAGGCAAGGGGGATCACCCTAAGGGAAAGGGGGGCCATGATACATGTTTAGGGAAGGGGGATCACCCTAAGGGAAAGGGGGAGTCATGATACATGTTTAGGGAAGGGGCTCAGTCTGATACATGTTTAGGGAAGGGGGATCATGATACATATCTAGGGAAGGGGGATCATGATACATGTTTAGGTAAGGGATCACTCTGATACATGTTTAGGGAAAGGGGATCACTCAATGGGGAAGGGGGATCATGATACATATCTAGGGAAGGGGGATCATGATACATGTCTAGGAAAGGGGGCTCACTCAATGGGGAAGGGGGATCATCATACATATCTAGGGAAGGGGGATCATATTACATGTCTAGGCAAGGGGGATCATGATACATCTATAAGGAAGGGGGATCATGATACATATCACTCTGATACATGTTTAGGGTAGGGGTATCATGATACATGACTAGGGAAGGGGGATC